ATTGATGGAGAGCCAGGGTTCATTTTGCTGAGAAGAGTAGGCAATAAAGCTTGTGGTTGTCAAATGTTAGAAGCAACCAGCTCTGTTTCTGTAGAATGAGTCTATCCACTAAGAGCCATTTTAGGCCCTAGCCCACAATTCTGTCTAGCCTCCATTAGAACAAACAAACATCCTACATCCCTGTGTGCTCAATAATATGCTACTAACCATTCATCTGACCCATAAAACCATTTTATTTCCCTCTGTTGCTGTTCCTCAGGTTCAGATTGACCCCTATCTAGAAGATTCTCTGTGTCTTATCTGCAGTTCACAGCCTGGCCCTTTCTTCTGTCGAGATCAGGTGAGTCCCTCGGCACTAGAAATGTCAACAAAGTTCCTATCACAATTAAAAAATGTGTTAAGATGCATTTATGGCATTGAGCAGTAGCGTTCGTAGGTAACTTGTGATGTGTGAGAGCATAAAGACAACCATCAGGAGGGCACACTATAGATAGGCTGATCCACAACTCTAGGTATGTCAGGGTGCTTTTTGGATTTTCCCTTTCCCTTCCTGGGCTACTACTGTACAATATGGCCATTGATGATGGTGGGTGCTTTTTGTTTTACTTTTTGGAAATGGTCTTACTGTTTGGTCCTGACTGGCTTGGGACTCATGTAGCCAAGCTAACCTTGAGCTTGCACAAGCCTCTTTCTTGCCCACTGCTTCTACCAGAGCCTTGGTATCATTGGCTTGTGTTACCATACCTAGTTAGTGGGTTTGTGGACATTTGGTAGTTGGGTACCTATGAATCAAGCACTACTGATACTTTTTCTAAATCTGACAAGCATGTCCAACTACAGTCTGATATTGTTTGCCTCAGGATATCTATGAATATTGCCTAACCCAAAATTTTAAGAGGACCCTCCCACCTTGTGAAGTGTTGGTTTGGTTTTATATCTGGATTGCATGTTTCTCCAGCGTGAACCATGTAAATGACGGCATTGTATTGCAATGCCAAAAAATTAAGCACACCTTGCTGGGATGAGTTTGCCTTACTTTATTTCTGAACTTATGAGCCGCTTTGTTACTTGTATCTGGGTTCTAAGCACACTCATCAGAGGTGGAAGCTACATGGAAACTTCCTATTGGGTGTCTCTGGATGGTGGCACATGGATGGGATCTGGGTGTGTTTGGCAGTCAATGCTTTCTGACTTGAATGTATGTACAGATCAGCTGAGAACTTTGTTAAATGAGAATCTGACTCTGGGTTTGGGTGGATCCTGACAAGTCTGTGTTTTTAGTAAATTGCTGAGTGGTGTCTGTGTTGATGTTTTGGAAGACCTCTTTTTAAAAAATACATTAAGGTATGTTTTCATATATGCATACAATAAATTGTGATTATGTCCAGCCCCACTCACTTCTCATCCACTCCTCTCAATTTCATCTTTTTGTTTTATTTTGGTGCTGATACTGTTTGGTTTTATTTTTTATCTTTGAGATAGGGTTTCACCTTGTACCTCTGGTCAGCCTGGGACTCACTATGTAAACCAGGCTGGCCTCAAACTCGATTATCAGCCTGCCTTTGCTTTCCAAGTTTTGGAATAAAAGGCAATGCATCACCATGCCGGGTCTCCTTTATTTATTTATTATTTTTAAATGACACTCACACCTAGTCCCAATGTGCTACTCATGGTAGTCCATCTACCAAGGGATGAACCCTTAAAGAAAACTGACTTTTTCCAGAAGCCGTAAGCTGTCAGTGACTCTCACCTAGTAGTGGTTTGTGAGCCTTTTCCCTGCTCATGCTGGAATGTTCATCAGGTTGATCTTGTGCAGGCACAATCATTGAACCACATTTTAAAACCTTCTCTGGGATGTTTGGGAATCTTGCAGACTCTAGCAATTAATCCATGCTTTGTCTTACAGTGGTGCTGTCATTTGCATGGAGGCTCTAGATAGTCAAAGACAGGCTCCCAAGGGAGCTCAGAGTAAGTTTGGGTAGTGAGATAAAGCCTGAAAACAAGTATCTTTCTAAATTAGCATTTATAGATCAGTATCTTTCACAGTGAACCTTGAATTTCTCATTCTTGGTAGGAGGTTATGACTTGCTTAGGGTTATTCAGAGAGCAAAACTAGTCACTTCTCATTGAGATTAGGCATGTCTCCTTTTATATTTGAATCTGTAATCCCTTCCTCAGATATTCTCTCATGTTGGCAGACATAAGATTCAGCTGCTCTGCATGTGAGAAGAGTGGGAATTGGGAAGCTGCATGGTCTTTTTGCACACCAGGAGCCTAAAATGTTTGTGTAAGATTACAGGTTGCAACTGGACAGTATTTGCCTTAGTCAGTTGGAGCTGTTACAGTGAAAGGGCTAGTCCCACAGAAACCAGGGACTTCATTTCTCTTAATTAGACCTGTTATACCTAAGGCATTCTCCTCCTCGTTCCCTCACCTAGGTCTGCTTCAAGTATTTTTGCCGAAGCTGCTGGCACTGGCGACACAGCATGGAAGGTCTGCGCCATCACAGCCCCCTGATGAGGAACCAGAAGAACTGAGATCCAGTTAGAGAAGCTGGCCTTGCCCAGTGGCCTGTTTGCTGAAGGCTGGCAAGTCAGGCCTATACCCTGCACTGGCGCCCAAGGAGCTAGCTTTCTGCAGACAAGGGAAAATTGTAGTCACCTTTGTACTTGCTAAATCTGTCTTTGTTTCTGCACTAATTAATGCACAATGAGTTTTGTCAGGTTTTGTTTCCAGGGGGTGTGCCAGAGCAAGGACCCTCAGGCTCACCCTCAAGCAAATGTAGTTTTCCCAGATTCTAGTTCCTCATTTTGCAAATGAAAAGAAAAACAACAAACCATGTGTCCAGAAGGTATTGACGCAGATGCCTACACCTAAGTTTATTTATTAAAGCGCTTTTTACATTCCTTGCAATACTGACGGTGGTGATGCGCAGGTCTCATTGGTTCATTCGTGCAGTTGCCATACAGTGCCTTTAAATTTATTTAACCCCCACCTGAACGGCATAAATTGAGTGTTCAGCTGGTGTTTTTTACTGTAAACAAACAAGGAGACTTTGCTCTTCATTTAAACCAAATCATATTTCATAGTTTACGCTCGAGGGTTTTTACTGGTTCCTTTTTACACTCCTTAAAACAGTTTTTAAGTCATTTGGAACAATAGATTTTTTTTTTCTGGCAGCTTTTAACATTATAGCAAATTTGTGTCTGGGGGACTGCTGGTCACAGTTGCAAATCAAAGTATTTGTAACCAAGGGAAAATTATTTTATTTAAAACTGGACCGGAGGGGGAAAATTAGGTTTGAGCAGCTGCTGTATATAGTTTTAAATGGTTTGTTGCACCTTCTTATGTTGCACTTACGTGGGGGGGAGGGTTGATAGAAGTTTTTAATCACAGTCACAGGACTTTTTTCTTTTGTAATTGAGCTTAAAAATTAAAAAAAAAAAGGGCTGCTTTTTGGTGGGGGCAGTTGAAGGCTCACAGGAGCCCTTTCTCTTAGAGGGGCAAGTACCCTTCCTTACATCTTTTATTTGAAGAATGTAGAAATCAACAGAGTTGACAAAAAATGCTACTGGAATTTGAAAACTTGACTTTTTCTTTTTAATTATCACTTGCCCCTCTTAAGGAAGCTGTGTGCCAAAGATCCAGTGTCCTAACCCCTCCTCCCTCCTGCTGAGCTGACGTTGCATTGTTGCATATCCCAGCTACTCTGTGGGTTTTGTGAAGCTGTGTGTGAAGTCTCTACCTCATTGTTGTATATGCAGGCAAGACTGCACTCTCCTACAGATGTGTGGAGTAAGCTGTGGTGTACTTTTTTTGGCACATAATAAACACGTTGCAGCAGAATTGTGCTTTTGTCTCTGTGTCTGGGGTGTGTGTAACAAGCAGGTAATATTCCAGAGAAAAGTCCTCTTGGATTTTCTGTAATGGGATTCCATCCCAGGGTGATGATCCTTGGGGAAACTAGTCTGAGGTAGAGGGACTCGGCCTCCATACTAAAGCATCCCTTCTGTGAGGTGCAGAAACTCGATAGTGGTCCTGATCCAAGTCTTGAAAGACTGTCTCTGTCTAAGCCTGGCGGCCACTTCATTAACATTTCACTGGTAAACTCGTGCAACACTTAGAGCATACTGATCTCTCCAGCCTCTTCCTATTCCTTAGATAAGGTAAGGGCTTTTGCGCTTCACCATCTGACCAGAGTGAGAGATGGATGAGTTGGAGGTTGAGACATAGCTGTGGCTGGCACAATCTCAGGTTTTAGCCTTAGGACCCCGCCAGGGCCATGGAACAGCTAGACCCTCCCTAGGCTGATGGCACTGACCGTGGCTTAAGAACCTGCTTTGGACCTGGGTATGGCAGATAGTGGCAGTAGAGCGAACTGAGATCTTTTGTTTTTCGAGACGGGATTTCTCCGTGGCTTTGGAGGCTGTCCGGGAACTCGCTCTGTAGACCAGGCTAGTCTCGAAATCGCAGAGATCTGCCTGCCTCTGTTTCCTGCTGAGATTAACGGCGTGCGCCACCACCGCCCAGCTGCGAACTGAGATCTTAATTTGTTCATATAAACGTTTGAGAGCTTTCTCTGAGCCGGCAGCTGTTTTAAACACCGGAGTTTAGCCCTTCCTGCTTAGCTCATTCCCTGGCTAAGAAAACAGAAAGGTCATTTGACGTGCTAAGAGCAGCTCCAATGCAATACTGTGATGGGGTGTGAAGAAAAGCCCTCTGGTGAAGCCTTGTTTGCACTAACGTTAGGAAGTGAAAGTAGCCTCTCCAATCAGGCTAGACCCTACAAAGCTCTAACCTGAGCCGCGCGAGATGGAAGTCGGGAAAACTCCCTCTACTACTTTACCTTTCCAAAGCGCGGGCTTCCTGTCTGCCTCATCTCAATGCCTCGAAGCCTTTCCTAGACTAAAGGACATTAAACGTCAACGAGAAGCCCATCAAGCAGGGAACTATATGGAGCGGAAACTAAACGGCCGGGCCACCTGCGTGCGCACGCGCAAACCCACTGCCAGGCACCTCCATTCGCCAGGGGGCGCTGTAGTGCGAGCCGCGCGCCGTCCCAGCAGGGCGGAAGCGGCTTTCTGGCCTGCGCTTTATAGGCCTCTCTAGTGCTTCCTGTTTCCTCTTTTACCAGGACCCGTCAACATGGTAGGTGTTTGGCTCCGGGGCCTCCGTCCTTTTCAATCCGCGTCCATCGCCCGCTTGCGGCGGCCCCGGCCCGCTGCGGGAGGCAGTAGGCCGGGCCTGCGCGGAGTCTGTCGGCCTGGCGTGCTCCCGCATGGAGCCCCGCGCGCTTCGGCCCCTCTGCGAGCCCGGCGCTCCCCGGGGCGGACCGCGCTCGCCTCCCCCACGGGGGCGCGGGCTCGCCGGTGATTGTTGCTCCCCACCCCCAGGGCCGCGTGCGCACCAAGACCGTGAAGAAGGCGGCCCGGGTCATCATCGAGAAGTACTACACACGCCTGGGCAATGACTTCCACACCAACAAGCGCGTGTGCGAGGAGATCGCCATCATCCCCAGCAAGAAGCTCCGCAACAAGATAGCCGGGTGAGCGGGCGCCTCCCCGGCGCGGGGCCCCCGAGAAGTGCTGGAGGGGTGCGACGTCGGTTCCGCCCTCAGCTGGGTCGCTCGGCGTCTGCTTGCAGTAGCGCCGTGGCCGTGCCGGGCCTCTTAAAGACGGGCCGGGCCGGGGTGCAGACGCTGAGCGGCGATCCTGGGGGGGTTGGTGCTCCGTGAGAGCTGAGCGGGCCGGGGCGGGGGTCCTCGATGCCCTCGGGCACGGGAGGCTCTCCGATGTGCGTCCGTTCTGATGCGGAAACGGGGCGCTCTGTACCAGGATGCTGGGGGACCCTCGGGAAGCTGGTGTGGTCACTCCCTGCCGCCCTGTTGTGTGTTGTAGCTATGTCACGCATCTCATGAAGAGGATTCAGAGAGGCCCCGTGAGAGGCATCTCGATCAAGTTGCAGGAGGAAGAGAGAGAGCGGAGAGATAATTATGTGCCTGAGGTAAACTGTGGGTCTTTACTGAACCTCTATCTCCTGTCCAGGTGGAAATGGAGGCTCTCGAGGGTTGGGGGGGCCCATTTGCGGTGAGGGGTCTTAGCCATTCAACGGTTGGGTGTTTCGACTCAGGGTCTCGCGGTGTAGAACAGGATCGCCTCAGTGTATCCGTCTGCCTGACTTAGCCTCTTGAGTGCCGGATTACAGGCGTGAGCCACATCTAGCTAGACTTCTTTAGCTGCCTGTGGGTGCCTGTCATCTGCCTACCTACTTTCTGCCCCGTCCATTAAGCCTGCTCTCTGTCGATGTGGGAGCCCGGGGAGCATGTCTCCTGGCTTGATTAGCTTGACATGCTAGAGTATCTCTGGCAAAAGAATAAAGCATTCCCAGTGCACGGAAGGCAGGAGCAGGCGGATCTCTGATTTGAGGCCAGCCAGGACTGTGCAGAGGACCCTGTCTGAAGCAAGAACCGTTCTCACCGTCCTAACATCTGGTGGTGTGCCTTCCCAGCACTGGGAAGTCACTGGCAGGCATATCCGGGGGTCAGCCAGGGTGGGATAGTGAGGCCTGGTCTAGAATGGGAGGAGAGGAGGTGGAAGATATCACATTCTTTTTTTTTTTAATTCCCCCAGACAGGGTTTCTCTATTGTTTTGGAGGCTGTCCTGGAACTCACTCTGTAGACCAGGCTGACCTCGAACTCACAGAGATCCGCCTGCCTCAGCCTCCCTAATGCTGGGATTAAAGGCGTGCACCGGCAAAGATTCCACATTCTTAACATGAACTTGATTCTTTCCCTCCCAGGTCTCAGCCCTAGACCAGGAGATCATTGAGGTCGATCCTGACACCAAGGAAATGCTGAAGCTTCTGGTGAGTGTCACTGACACCTGGTCAAGGACCACGAGTGGCTTTACAGTGTTTGGTGGCCTGTTCTCGTGTGTGGTGGAATGGCTTACACGACGATTTCAGGGTCGTGGGGCATTCATTACTGAGTCCTTTGCACTTGTCCTTGTTGTGGGGCTGGCTCCTAAGTTGTCCCCCTCCCTCTTCAGTTCAGTGCTGGTTCTGTCGCCTGCTTTCCTTGGATTCTCATGATTGTAATGACAGAAATGACTTCTGGTCTCATTTTCAGAATAGTTGGGCACTGCCTGGGACAGTTCACAGGTGTCTTTTTTCATAATTGTGTGGAGGTGGCCAGGCTCCAGACTTGAGCTGCTGTTAATGATTGTAAGCAATCTGAGGCACTAACAAAATGCACACCCACACCTGAACCAGCAGAGCAGCAGCTGAAGCTTGCTCTGTGCGGATCTGCTCCTTGTGGGGCAGTCTTGACTTCTGAAGTCATGTGACTCCAGGGCATGCTGGCCCTCTGGGTGCGGAGTGTGCTTGGGGCCTGACCAGAACTTCACTCCTGGTGCCTTGGACATCTGCTTCCCTCGGGTAGAGTGAACTGTGGTGCCCCTTGACTGGGGCTGGGGGCCGTGTCTTAGTGTGCTTGCAGCCGTAGATGTGTGGACTGTGGTAGAAGATGCCTGCATTAGGCTTTAGTTAGGAGTTAGTGGCAAGACTGTTGACTCCTTGGGTGTGGAAGGCAGGCCTGGGTTTGTTTGTGTGTGTGTTGCAGCTTTAGGCCGATTCAGTGTGTGCCGGCTAGGGGGAGTGAAGGCCTGCTGAAGGTTGACTGAAAGTCTAGGCGGTCCTGTTAACTCACGGGTGTTTAGTCAGGTCCTAAGCCCCTTGGCTGCCTTTGGTCTAGGACCCAGCTCCAGACCCCAACCTCCACCACTCACTGCTGGCCATGTTTTGTTGCAGGACTTCGGCAGTCTCTCCAACCTGCAGGTCACTCAGCCTACAGTTGGGATGAATTTCAAAACACCACGTGGAGCCGTTTGAGCCTGTTGTGTCATATTTTCAATAAACCTGGAAATAACCTTGCCTGTGTTGTTCTTGCTGCTGTTGGGGTAGGAGGCTCAGGCAGACCTCAGGACTAGCTAGCCTGGCCATCATCTGGGATGGGGCAGCCAGGCAGCACACACTATAACAGGCCTGCGTGTGCAGACCTAGTGTGCTCAGCTCTAAAGGACACGCCAGAAAGCTGCTTTGCTGTCAGCTCGTGGGACCAGCATGTCCAGTTGGAGGACAATAGTGTCAACCAGGGTGAGGTAGGTGTGCTGGTTTTTTATGTTAGCTCTGAACCCTAAAATTCACTGTGAAAACTTCGCCTTTGCCATTAGTAGGTTTCAAGCGTTTGAGGCTAACCTGTGCCTCATTAACATCCTGCCCGTCTGACATCTGTTGATAACTCCTTTCACACTTAAAATGACCAGCTGGAGCTGAGATCCAGCTAGAGCTACAAAGTGAGACCCTCTCTGTTTTTTTCAATGGGCTGAGTAGACAGCTAGTTCAATGGGTGGCCTGCGTGCTGTGCAGGCATGCGGGAACCGGAGCTGGGCCACAGGCGTGGCTGAGCACTTGTAATCAAGGACTGAAGTCCTGGGGGCTCTGGGTTTGCTGAGGGATGCCCAGTCTCAAGCTGGAGAGCAAAGGACATGTACACCTTAAAACCACTGTGTTCATAGATTGGTGATTAAGAGGATACTTCTGTTACTGCTGGAATGAGAGTTATTTAAGTGGGTGGCTAAGAGTAGAGGTCAGGGTTTATTTGACTTACACTTCCATGTCAAAGGCAGGAGCTGATGCAGACCGTGGATGGGTTCTGCTTACTGATTGCTTGGGACCCCCAGCCCAGGGATGGCACTACTCAACCATCTGTTAATTCCAATTCCAGGGACTCTTGAGGCCTGGCTTCCACAGGCTGCACTTAGGTGCACAGAGATACGTGGAGGCAAAACACTGCTGACATGTTTATCTTAAGATGATTTTTTTTTAACAATATTGAGTTTACCTGCACGTGCCTTTAATCCCAGCACTCTACAGATTGGTGGATTTCTGAGTTTGAGCGAGTTCCAGGACAGGCTCCAAAGCTACAGAGAAACCCTTTCTCGGAAAAACCAAGGGGGAAAAAGTTGATCTACCCATTATGGCTGTCATGACTTGTCTTTGAAGTAGTTTTATGTGGTAAACTATTAATTCCTCATATATTATACTTATTTCTGGGGTAGGTGGGTGGTTTTGAAGGTCTCATTGTGTATCCCTGGCTGACCTTATATAGCAGACTGCCTCCCAAGTGCTGGATTAAAGGCTTGCACCACCATACCTGTTTTATGTCTATATGTGTGTGTAGTCTTTTATCTGGCATTAAGGTATTCTAATTATGCTGGCTAGTTTTGTCGCCTTGACAAGCTAGAGCAGTACTCAACCTAAGGCTGTGACCCCATACAGTTCCTCAGGTTGTGACCTCCCAACCATAAAATTACTTTTGTTGCTACTAAATAACTAATTCTGTTATGAATTGCAATGTCAATATCTGATATTCAACCCTATAAAAAGGTCCTTAACATAACCCCTCTCCAACCGCTGAGTTAGAAGAGGGAACTTGAATTGAGAAAAATGCCTTCATTAGAGTTGGCTGTAGGCAAGCCTGTAGGGCATTTTCTTAATTAAGGTTGATGGGGAGGGCCCAGCCCATTGTGGGTGGGGCCATCCCTGGACTGGTGGTCTGGGTTCTCCAAGCAGGTTGTGCAAGCCGCCAGCAGTCCAGGAAGCAGCACCCTCCGTGACCTGTGCATGAGCTTTTGATATGCCTGTCCTTCCTTTGATGAACAGGATGAGAATGTGCGAGCCAAATAAAGCTCACCCCCAAGTCTCTTGGTCATGGTGCTTGATAGCAGCAATAGTGACCCTAACTAAGACAAGTTGGTACCAGGATTGTGGGGTATGGCTGTGATAGGCCTGACCGTTGTTTTGGGGACGGTTGTGGAAGGACTTTGGAACTTTGGGCTGGAAAGGCTATTGGATGTTGAGAGCTCAGGGAGCTGTTTGGAGAGCAAGGCAGATGATGGGGGCCTGCCTTGTGAAGTTTCAGAGGGAAGCAGACTCCACTGGGCCTTTTGTATGAAGAGTAGGGTCTGCTCAGCTGGAGGTGGTGAAGCCTGTGATCAACAGGATACTCGAACCACTCAAGGAAAACTTGCTTTGCTGAGACAATGTGCTGGGCAGCTGGGGCTGAACAGTCAGCTGTGATTGAGAGCGATTGAGGGAAATCTGGGAAGTGTTTCTCAGGGTCAGCACACATGCAAGCATCGCCCACGTGCTGCTGGTTTTGAGGGCATGAAGGGGCCCTGGCGACCAGTTGAGTCTTGGAGCCCTGTGACCAGGCTGGAGCCTGAGTCCTGAAGAGAAGCCCAGGAGTCTGTTGGTGAAAGTGCAGCCAGCCAGGTTGTAGCTAGGGACCATGGATGACCCAAGAACAGAGCAGTGGGGTGGAGCCCGCCTGAGCTTCCACAGCAGGCTGTGTGTGCTGCTGAGGGCCGGGCCAGAGAAGTGAGCCTGCCCTTAGGAGCCCGGATCGCTGAGTGGGCCCCAGACATTGGATACTGAGTTGTTTATACAGTTGGAGTTTGATTGTGACCATGTCCTGCCTGGTTTTCCCCTCGAAGCAAGGAAGTATTTTTTTATTTTATTTTATAGGAGCCCACAGTTAAGAGAATGATTTTTAAAAGTTTTCTTAATCTCTGAGCCATCTCTCCAGCCCTAGCTTTGAATTTTTAAATGTTTGAATTTGTAATGACTGTGGGACTTGTAAGACTTGAAATATTTTGCGATGTTCATATTGTGTGCTGTTTGGAGATGAACAAGGAAGGAAAAGTTGGGACTTAACAGTGATGTGTTTGTGTGTCAAATTGACAAGGTTTTTTTGTTTTTTTGTTTTTTGTTTTTTGTTTTTTTTGGTTTTTCCGAGACAGGGTTTCTCTGCATTGTTTTTGAGGCTGTCCTGGAACTTGCTCTGTAGACCAGGCTGACCTCGAACTCACAGAGATCGCCTGCCTCTGCCTCTCTGTGCTATGATTAAAGGCGTGCGCCACCAACGCCCAGCAAGGGGTCAGTTTTATGGCAACAAAAATTATGGCCATCAGAGAGGAGGGACCCAATTGAGAAAACCTCCATAAGACCAGGCTGTAGGCAAGACTGTAGAACATTTTCAAGCTACTATTTAGGATTGTGATTTTACATTCTATATGTTTGTGTCTGCAGGTTTTCCTCTTGTTATTGATTTCTAATTTCAATCCCGTTTTGGTCAGAGAACATACTCAGTAGGAATGAATTCACTTTTTGAGAATTGGGAGCACAATGTGTGGTCTGTTTTGGAGTGCACACCCGTGCTAAATCAGTGCTTGGTAAGTAAGTCTCCTTCAAGTGGTGTTGACTTGGGTAGTTCAGTTTTGGTCGGTTTCTTGACGAGGGGACTTGGGTAGCCTGGAACTAGCTACGGAGTCAAGGATAGCCTTGATTGGATTCCTGATCCTCCTGCCTCCACCTCCTGAGTGAGTGCTGGGATTCCAGGCATGTGCCACCAAACCTACCAATTTTTGTTTACAGTGTTAAGTTTCATCTGGTTCATGTATTTTATCTGTTCCCTCTGTCCCTGCCTGAATGATGATTTTTCATTCCTTGTAGTTTCACCTTTGTGTGTGAGTCAATGTGGAGAAAGCATTGGTTTAAGTTGTAAATGGCATTCTGATAATCCCTACCTGCAACTGAATGCTTATTCTGTTTCTAATCTCTTTATGCTTAAGATAATTCCTGATACAGTGACACTGTTTGTTTGTATTGGTTTTTACGAGACAGAGTTTCTCTGTTTTGGAGGCTGTCGGTTCAGCCCGGCCTCGAACTCACAGAGATCCGCCTGCCTCTGCCTCCCGAGTGCTGGGATTAAAGGCTTGCGCCACCACTGCCCGGCTTACAGTGACACTGTTAAGCTGCTTATTTTCCATCCTATTGTTTTGTAGCATGTGCGTGTAATTTAACAAGTGTGCATGTTTTGGCTGTATGAGTGTAGGTGCAGTGCCTGCAGAAGCCAGAAGAGGGCACCAGATCCTCTGGAACTGGAATTACAGGTGGTTTGGGGCTGCTGTGTGGGTTCGGAAACTTAACCCAGGACTTCTGCTGAGCTGTCAAGCCCCTGAGTTGTTTTCTCCAAGATTGTTCTAGATATTATCATTAATGTCTTACAACAAATTATATTAACATAAGCCTCTTTTTTTTTTTTTTTTTTTGGTTTTTTGAGACAGGGTTTCTCTGCATTGTTTTTGAGGCTGTCCTGGAACTTGCTCTGTAGACCAGGCTGACCTCGAACTCACAGAGATCCGCCTGCCTCTGCCTCCCAAGTGCTGGGAGGCAACCACCAACGCCACCAACGCCTGGCGGTTAACATAAGCTTCTTTTTGTTGTTTTTTGTTTTGTTTTGTTTTAGAAAATCTTACTATGTATCCCTGGCTGGCTGTCCTGGAACTCACCCTATAGACCAGGCTGGCCTCGAACTCACAGGGATCTGCCTCCTAAGTGCTGTAATTAAAGGTGTGCGCCACTATACCCAGCTCACAAGCCTCTTTTGAATAGTATATTCAATAGCCTGCTCCTATATGTGTCTGATTCTCTTTCTTTTGTATTATTATCATGCACGTCTTAGGTATCATTTTCTTCAATTCTTTGAACATTTGAAACAGCAAGGTCAGTGGAGTGTAGATGTCGGTGTTACATGGTGTAGCCATGGGCCTTTGTTCTACCTAAGGAACCTCATGTGTGTACAAGTACAGTTTGGCTCTGTTCCAGGGCCACCTCAGTTGTGTTTTACCCAGAGAATGATCTGGGTAGCTGCGCTTTCAGTTTTGAGTGACTAAGTGCATTAGGCAAGCAAAAATAAAAACATATAGCAAGCATAGATGCATGGCGTCCTCGGGCCAGGCACTCAGCTCTAAAGCTCCTAGAAGGCAGCCAGCCGGAGCTTCCAACAGAGGCCCTGGCAGGTGGG